CCTTAATGATTCTGTGATTCTATGATCCTCTGCCAGTTTGATGGAAAGCCATTAATTACTCTGTGAGAGTCTGACTTTTTTTAAATTGGTAACCAGTTTTGCATCTGCAGTCGTAGGTAATCTACCCTATTTTGAATCCATTGATATAAGGCAATCTTCTTATATAATTTCAGCTATTAAAGAGAAGGCTTTCTCTCTAGAAAAACAAATTTCTCTTCACAAGCCATTTTGATGTAAATGGCCAAAAGCTTAACTACCATTATTTTGCCAATGTTGTAGTCCGTGGAGCATGGCTAAAAAGACTATGAAGTCCTAAAATACAAGCACTTGTTTATTCTTCTGTATCTGTACCCTCAGCAGAAACAGTCTCTTTTCTTGAAAATTCCCTTGTGAGCGTTGTTTAAAAAAAAAAAAAAAGGCAATATACTCTCCTTATTTATGTGGGCATATATAAATTTTCAGTGTGAAGCAGAATTATGGATTATTTTTTACATGCTGCACACAAGCTGTTCATGAGTATGGTAGAAAAATAATTTCATAGCTATTTCAGCATCAGTGCTCATCCTAGAAGTGGACTGCTTCATTCATGCAGCATTTAGTATTTTAAAATCTCTCCTTCACAAGATATTAATGTTCTTTTTAATAAGAAACAGTCTTCTGTCCATGAATCTCAAAGCTCTTTATTCAGTAACTTGGTTATAACAGGATTACTTCATCAATAAGACTGATATTTTAAGAGCTTAAAATGCCTCTGACTTGGAAATAACACTTTTCATCTACTCATGTTACATGCAACACCTACAGTCACTATTACCTCTTACAATTGTAGGCACTTTATTCTCTGATTACTTTCATTCTGCAGAGAGGCCAGTGCAGTCAGAATGGGTTAGTCTAGCTGTATTTTTCCACATACCTGAGCTACCTTGGGTCTCTGTATGCTGCATTGCGCAGTATGGTGTAAACATACTTTAATTAGCTGTCTTTCTGGAATGCACATCAAAGTCTGATTATTTAACGAACCATTTTCAGGTGCTGAAATTATGGATGTAGGTGGAATTGTACCTTTCCTTGCTAAAACATGGCATAAAATATCTACCTCCTAAATAAAACTGAAGGAGACATAGAAGTCAGGGCACATTATATGGCATACCAGCTGAGCAGGATAAAAGCAAGCTGTCTTTTGCAGCTGCGTTTAGGAGTCCTAGCCAGAAAGAAAAGATTCTCTTTCACATATCCACTAGAAAGTAGAAATTGTTCAGAGCTTTTCTATGAGAATGATGCTGGACCAAATTCAACCCAGCTATAAGAAGTCTCCGCTTCCACGGGAAGCTGTGCTTGGCCCAGGGGCCCTATTCATTAGAATACTGTCCCCCTTATACAAGTACCAAGCAAATAGAGTCCCAGAGACTGTGTCAATACAGTTGGAGGACAAGTAAAGCACTGTATTGATTTTGACATAAATCCAAAGTAATATCTCTCTGCTGTTAACAGAAACCTTATAGCATGGAAAAGAACTCATTGAAATAGTGGCTTAATAAAAGCAGGCGGTTAAATTAGTGAAAGTCCAATTGCAGGGTCTGCTCAGTTTTGTTATCCATGGAAGTAAATACTAATAATAATCTAAAATAATTTTTTTGTGGTTTGGTTTAGGTATAGTGGGAATTTATCTTTCATAAGAGGGCATTGGTATATATTTCTCTCCCTATATCATACTCATGCAGCATCTGGGCATATGTTGTTCCATGTTGGGGTCTTACCGGGTTTGAAGCTCGAGAGTTGGTCTGCAGGTGGACTGCTCCACACTTGCTGTGTTCTTGGAATGGCTCTTCTACTAATTGCAATAATAGGTCGTTTTTTCCAGCATCTAAAAAGAAATGAACTGCCCCATCCTCTAGGACAGTAGTCTTTCTGAGAAATGGTTGGGGAGATGATCTCCTTTGGCTATCGGGATGATGTTGATAGGTTCTCAACTTGTATGCACCCAAGTGCTTTTATGGGCCATTGGTCTCTGGGGTGGACTGGGTAATCTCCCACTGTTCATGATTGTCTCTGTGAATCAACAAAAATACAAGAATTAGGTTGTATGCTGTAGGATTTCTTTGATTTTGTATGTGTGATTACTTTTACCAGTGGTTTAGTATCTTCATTGCTGCTTTTTTTTTTTTTTCCTTTTTTTTCCTTCCTGATATGGAGAAATTCTCATTGGGCCCTCAAGGGACATTTTGTCACTTGAATAATATTTAATAAAAATGGGTGAGATGTCCACCAGGGTGCAGTCTTTCCCAAAAAAAAGCCATGGTGGTCAGTAACTGTTTAGTGCACCTGTTCTTTGGAAACTAGATTAATTTATTTGTCTTATTCTCGTAAGATTATGCTATCCACTTCAGGAGAAATGGAGAAAAACTGTAAGATACGCATATTAAAATGAGAACCTCAGTATCAAAAATTGTAAATATCCTGAATATCTATGAAATGCTGGTACATTTTATAAATTATTTATAAGAGTAAATGCAGCAGTTTTTGAGGGTTTTTTTTTAATGAAACTCAATAGCTGTAATTGGGAAATGAAGATGTGAATACTTAATTCTTTTAAAAATTAAAGGCCGTTGCTGCTGCTTCTAATACCATGCATGTTAGTTAAGCAACTGCTTTCAAGTTGAAGGAACAAGCTTTCCCCACTCTGGCAGGAGGAGGATGAAATAATTTCTGCTGGGGGAGACAGAATATGCACAAAGCCCTGGAAAACGTCATTTGCTTTCATTTTTTTCCCCATCTCTGTCCTCTTCCTTCCAGCTGCCGCCATCCCCAGGACTGCCAAGGATGAGTAGCGTTCTCTTTGACCCAGCGGAGGTGTGGGCAGGGCAGGGGGCTGCGGGGCCAGAGGCTGCTGCTGAAGCCAGAGGGGTCTCTGTGTACAGCAGCAACGCGCTGGTTTCAGTGTCACTTACTGGCTTCGCAAACCAAGGAACAGTGCCCTGAACTAAAGAAGCATCTGTTTAAAATCACGTGTCACTAACATAAGATTTTGAGCTAGTCTTTTCCTTATGCCATGTTACAACAAGAAGAGGTTGCTATGGCATTTCAAAATCTAATGTTTGCATTACAGCAAACGGGTCTGAATTCAGTGTTGACCTCGCTTGGAGCAGGGTGTTGCGCCAGAGGCCTCTTGAGGTCCCTTCCCACCAGAAAGATTCTGTGACTTTGCTTCCTGTGACTACCCTCCCTTTGTGTCTTATGTTAACTGTTGCCTATTATATTTATTTGCTTCTCTATCTTGTGCAAATTTAAGCGTTCTGGCAGCAATGCATACTCAAGGGCCTCATGGTAATACTTTGTAGTAATCTTCATACTCAGGCCAAGTGAAAAGTGGATGGGATTTCAAAGTTATCAATGCTTCCTCATCCCTAGCTCCTTGAGAGCCAATGGGAAAAAATTTTGGGGGGGTGGGGCAGAATAGTAACAGTTGTACAAAACTAAAAAGCTTGAAATAACAGTATTTTATTTCTCCTCTTGTTCTAGGTTATGCATTAGATCCCTCTATAGATAACCCTGAAGTTGCTACAAAATATATTGGTTCTGTAGAAGAAGCTGAAAAAAATCAAGGTAAATAATTCAGAATCTCATATAAATGACTTGCAACTGACGACTGTTTCCATTTCTTCTTCACTAAGAAATGGAATAGGTATCAGCAAAGGAAGGAATTATGAGAGACTTACCCATGTCTAAAGACACAATAAGTGAAGGTGTGTTGCAATTGTAATGTGAAGATGGAAGAGAGATACTGGGGGGCTTTGTTTTCCTGAAGTAGCAAATATTTCAGGCTATCATTATGTCAAATTTCAAATGAGGACTTGTAATTGGAACCTAGCATGTGCCATTACATGAATAGAATTGATCTGTATGTTTGAAATAGAGCTTTTTGGTCCTTTTGAATTCTGTCTTAGCTAAAACTGTCGTATGTCTTCATTAGGATACTTGTATGTTGGGTTAATCACCTTAACTGCGCTACTCAGTAGCAAACTGATTGCTCTGTATGCAACCTCTAGCATTCTATTGGGAATTGCATGTTATCTCTGCTTAGCAGAGTTAAGCTGTTTAGGTTATTTGGAAAAGAAGAACCATTGGACGGTTGCCAAATGGTAAAGGCATAGTGTGCCACTGGGAGGATTGACTACCAGAGGCATGGGGTTTGTAATTAATACTTTGATACAAGATATTTAACACTCAAAGTGACTTATTTGCATTGGAAAACTGTACCTGTGTAAACTTCACAGTTATGCTTTCCCTTGCATGTCTTTTTCTAACATCTTATTCACATGTGTGTACAAAGGTTCTTTATTTCTGTGTCCTCTTCCATGGAATATATCCAAGGTTATTTCA